GAAACTGCTGTGCATCTTCAATTGGGATAGTCTGGAGGAACTTCATTGCAAAGGCAAGTTGGCTTGGGCAATTCGGCGGATATTTGCTGTTGCAGTATCTATATGGTCAGCTGTTACCAATTTGGACCATTCACTTCTGTCCATGTCTCTCATAACAATCAGTAGTTCAATGAGACCAGCATTCTTGTATGCAGTGAAAAGGGTATTCACCTTTGATTTTCTAAGATGCAATAATGGGAACTCTGGCAAAAATTGCTTGTATTTCCCTTTTTCCTGAAGAAGTTTTAATGAATTCATGCCAATTTGATATCAGGTCCAAAAAGAATTCGATCACAGCTGTCATCGCTTGAATATATTCCAAGTTTGATCAGGATGTCATCCAAAATGTCACGAAGTTTGTTGATATCGTCATCTCTGCCTGATTCAGGAGGTGGATGTCTTGTCAAAAGTGATGGTGGTGTATATTTGCGGAAACCAAACATAGTTGTGATTTCATTTTCAAATTCATGATTTGATTCTCCTTGTTTCTTGTCGTCAGAATACATGCTAAGGTCATCAAATGATTTTTCCAAAGCAGAAGCTTCAAAACGAAAAGCAATGTCCTCAAGGTCATCTGGAAAACCATCAGGTGCTTGAATTAGGGTTGCTTCCTGCAAGATTCCTTCCAATGTTTCAGTTCCATCAGTCTCCATCAGATCACTGGTTGCAGGCAACTGAAAGAAAAAAACATATTGTAGTAGATGTACATTTCTAAGTTTAAAAACACATTTCATCTATGATTATTTACTCCATTTATAAATGAATGCTAAATATATTACCTTCTCTGGTTGAGAGATGGATTGACATTCATCTGTAGAGATATCGCTTCCTCCGACTTCTGTATCAAGTCCATCAGCCTCTTCCATATCACAGTCACTAGTGACAAGGTTATTCATGAAGTCTTGCAGCCATTTGAATTTGTTTGAAGTATTTTCTGGAAGGAAAGCTTTATGCTATCAACAAAATGCAAGAACATAGGTACATTACACAAATTATTTTAAAACTTTGGTCACTGGTTATCTGAATTTGTAAAGTATTCTCATCATATTGAAAATAATAATATATATTACTACCCGAATCTGTTCCCCAGTTTAATGTTCCTACAAACTAAGAAGAGCCAAAATATCGTGTATTTCAAAGTATGTTTCTTAAAAACAGCTTCGGTGTTACGTTTGATACAAAAGAACAAACATATATATGTATATATATATCTATCTATCTATATCTTGCATACCTTTTAACAATCTCCACACGCGGATATTTCCCCATGTACAGAGGCGGTGAAACATCTCATAAACTTCACTCTCATTCCCATCAAGATTCAAAATGGTATTGAACGCTTCGTCTTCGGAAATGTTGGTTGTTGCTTTGCATGGACAATTTGTTGTGCCGTCACATATGTTGACATCATGCCACAAATCAATTTCAATGCTGTCTTTTGGAGTGTGATCGGTAACATACACAGCTGCTTTGATCTGCTTTCGCCAGGGACTGGGTCATTACGGTTTTTCAGTCTGACCAAATTGTCCAGCATCAGTATGACATGACATTGTCTCAAGTTCACAAGCCCCTCGACTTCACCAGCGGATGTGCTGTACTTGAGTGCATGTTGTTTGATGAATGTATTGTAGTAGCATGTGTGAGTCAGTGCTCTTTCTTTAAGACTCTTTTCTGCTGTTTTCAAACTGGTCGTACATCCAAAGTTGCTGGTTATAGAGAACAAATTGTTTATGCTTCTATAAGTCATCTGTTGTACTCTGTTGCAACACACCGATGTGACGTCGGTTCAGAGTGTTGAGAAGAACGTCATAGCAACAGTAGAGTCTCTACAACTTCTCTCTATCAGGTGATTTAAAACAGCTATCTTTATTAATGAAAACTTCAAACAACATCTGAACATCAAGTGGCACATCAAGGAACCATTCTTCTTTGATATCAAAGTTTGATGCTGACAGAGGATTTGGTAGCTTGAAGTCTAAGCATGATGTACACCTGGTAACATCTCCATAGTCTTCAGTACTGCTGTCATTGTCATGAAATAGATCGTCACTACGGAGGATGTATTCATTCAGTCGTTGAAGCAGTAGGTCATCATGAAGGGTAAACCGTGCAATAGTCCCATTCTCAGGCTTGTATTTGTCGAAGGTGTCTGGTTTAAACCATTTGATCAAATGACATTTCAATCCATGTGCTTTATTTAATGTTGAAAGAATCAGCTGTATAATTCCTGATTTCAACTGCAGTTCCGTGTCACTCACAAAGTTCCACATAAACATCAACGCAATTATTGGTGTCCTTGCACGGACATTGTACACATAGGATACAGCTGACAACTCTTGGAAACACATTTTCAACTTCTGACACCAACTGTTCTTCAATTACAGTTGCTTGGTGGCGCTTTGTACCTACACGTTCAATACCGTCATTTACTGAGAATGACACTTGTCTCAGACGTCTGTGACGTATAGTATTTTGTGCACCCTTCAGTAAATTGTCACTAATGCGTTTAAAAACTTCAAACGATTCCAAGAACTCCCATCGTTTTATAATGCTGTCCTCAAAGTTTACTGTTTCATATCGCACATCTTTCATAAAATGATATTCAAACAGACATATTAATTCCCATTCTTTTTCGGAAAAATGTTGTTGATAATCCTTTTGAAGAAAAATGAGTTCAGATTGATCTAAACTGAACTGAGCTGAATTATCAAAGTATTTCCTAATGTGAGAGTGTGTAAGTTTTGAATATAGCTCATGAATTGTCCTTGTCTTGTCTTTCCGAAATATGTTTTTATGAACGTTCTCTGCTAAATCTTTACAGCTGTTGAAATCATCACAGTGACAGAATATATATTTCAAAGCAGAGAAAGTACTTATATGAGTCACAGATCCATTACTATCTTTTCTTGTTCTGTTTGGATGTGTACTTATCTCTCTCAGGACATTATACTTCTTTATTTCTTTTATTCGATCATTTGATGATTGTTTTTTTCGCAAATAGGAAAGGAAATCTTCTACCGTTATCCAGTTAGTTTGATAATAGGAAAGGAAATCTTCTACCGTTATCAATACTGTTAACAAGTATCTTTTCAAACGCTAGCCATTTGATATTCATTAACATACATGTGTCTGGGGAACTATGATTCAGTATTGTTAACAAATATCTTTTCAAACGCTAGCCATTCGATATTCATTAACATAAATGTGTCTGTGTCTTGGTCACTACAATTATTCTGTATAATTCGTTAACAACATCAAAACAATCACTATGAAAGATTTTGACTTACCTTTGTCAGCTGGACAGTTTTTTTCAATGTTTAGATCTTCATTCGGAGAAAATGCTGTACAAAATACACCGCGAGCACACATACACTGAGATGGAACAGAGATCAGTCAGTCTCCAAGGGTGACAACATGCAACGCAATACAGTACTGCTCTGTCCAACCCTTCCCAAAAAAAATCCATTACGCCTACACATCTCTTCCATCACAAGGGATAAATATTTCAGTGTCAAAACAGTTAAGGACCTTTTTAATGATGTTAATTCTCATTTAATATTAAGTTTTTTAAAAGAAATAGAACTTGTCCATAAATTTTGATGTGCTTAATGTATTATTTTATAAATTGGTAGTGCTAATAAATAACTTAGATTGTGAGTGGCTGTACCCTCGAGGGGGGTTGAAGTAGCGTAAAATTATTGTCCCCCTAAGAGGGTATGTAAGTCCCAAACCATTCGTAGTATTTTTATGCATACCAGACTTTTAAATCGTAGTATATTTGTTAGTTTTATTCAATGGCTAAACTTGCATATAATCGCCAGTGACTGAAGGGATGGTGTAAATCCTGCCAGGGTCCATGCAGGAAGCAAAGGTACTGTAAGTCCCCATGGTCCCTGGTGTGGTGATCTCCCTTTAGTTACTGACGATCTCTAGCCCATTTTTATATTGTTTTGTTCCTTAATACTTAATTCTTTTAAATGTTCCGCAACTAGTTTTAAAATCTTATCTGTGATATTCTAGTTCTCATACTGTCCTTCGATGACAGATTTTTATAAAGTTTAAATATATGTATATTTCATGTCTAATTTCTCGTCACGATATGGCTGAAATATTGCCGATGTGACGTAAAGCATTACCTCACTCACACACTTGCTCCCACTAAGCTCTCTCCCCCCCCCCCCCCCCCCCCCCAAGGTCTAAGGGATGTAAGAACAGCGGGTGAGTAAAAACAAAAGCTATGACCTAAAGAAATTCTTGGTCAGTCTACCACAAAACTGTATAATGCAAATCCAATTCAGCAAGCCCTGCTTGTCGTAAAAGGCGACTAACGGGATCGGGTGGTCAGGCTCGCCGACCTGGTTGATACATGTCATCGATCCCAATTGCGTGTTAATGACTCGTTTATTTACAGACCGTCGTCAAATAGCTTGAATATTGCTGTGTGCGGCGTTAAACAACAAACTAACCAACCAACCAGCAAGCCCTGCATAGTCAGAAAAATGTAACAAACAACCAGGTGATCCATCTCCTTGTTTATTTACATGTCTGCTAAAGGGGTGTACTTACTCATTGATAAGATAGCTAATTAGAGATGGTCCAAAACAATGTGCTCTGTGTTGAAACAACGTGCTCGGCTGGCTGGCTAAAACAATGGAATTGGCCTTAGCGCGAGATGGAGTGATAAGCAGAGCATTTTGGGATATCCCACGTAAATAGCTAATATTTGAATAAATATGCCTCCCAGAACATTAATGATGTGAATTTGAACACAGTTATAAAAGTAATTTGTGTTCTTATTCCGGTTGAGCAAACTACTCTCCATTGGGAGTAGCTGCTGCCTTTTTTTGTAAGGCCTTAAGGATCCTCTCTTTTCTTTCTCCGTCCCTGTCAGGGGCATAGCGACACCACAATTTTATCTGATCTTCTATATCATTGTTTGTTTTCTGGACCAGTGGGTTCTTTCGGGTGGCTTCTTCAACATAGTTGACATGATACAAGCTACTGAAATCTATAACACTGATTCGTGACATAAAGGTGTTAATTACTCCACACAAACAGTTCCATGCACATTTATGCTGGTAAATGTACAAGGATTGCGACGTTTTACACTGAAAGACTAAAATGAATGTCACGTTGTTTCAAGTTGTTTTCAAGACAGTTTCATGTCTTAGCAATTATCAAGAAATATGTTGAGGCGAATTAAGATTGAAGCTGTACTTACTAATGATAACATCCTTAAGTGGCATTTCTTTAAAGGCCCTCTTCCCGGATGTCCCTTTCCAATTTATTTGTTTTGCAAGCTTGTTTGTTATGGCCGCCGACAGGACGCGTCTCACCGTGTCTGCAGCGCTCATACCCCCGATGACACCAAGTTGTGAGACCTATACTATGTATAACATGCATGGTATAGTTACAATTACATATGCGTATTATGGAGACAGCTTTTATAGAATTTATTGATAAAATAACATAACACGAACGAATTTATATTTGAATGAAGTACAGTTACGGATTATGAATGAAGTCAAATTAATATTGTATGAAAGCCTAACTGGGTTGGGATGGTTAGCGTTTCCTTTAAAAAAACACGCTTGTAGAAACGTTGAATGTAATTATGTTTTATTCTAGTTTATATAAATTATGACAATACGGAAATTAGCTAAAAACTTAAGCTGCCGTGATGCAGAATTGAACACGTATTTTTAATCATGCCTTTGTTGTAGGATGTAGTAAATATAATTAAGACCATTGAAATCGTATTATATTACAAATGACGTTTCGCAATTTAAAACAATGGGCTGGAATACTTACCACACTCCTGAATAGAGTAGCATCCGACAAAGAAGTGTTTGCCTCATCAAGGTCTTGAATATTGTCAAGAGGCAGGTCTAAGGACGGTTGCTCAGATGTTGATTGTACTGGCGCTGACATCATTAACAACAACTGGTTAAGCAGTCTGTTGTTTTCCATCGTGGTCGCTGTGTTGGTTTCGATGGCTCGATTATTTGGACAGCCTCTGTTATAAATAGTAAAATAGCAAAAAAATTATATTTCAAAATTATTCGTGATATATTGTTCCATTATATTTCCACAATACTGCAACATTAACATGCTTTAGGTTATTTGAGGTTATTGATTAGCCCAACTTAAATGGAATTGTATATTTAGCATCATACATGTCAGTTACTTCTTTCCATATACGGGGGCACGGGTGGCCAAATCGCCTGCAGGCGCCACAATTCGCACTGCAGAGTTGCGTCCCTTTGACACGCCAGAAATCTATGCGTGTGGGGTCTGATTCGTTCCGATTAGTGTCTTGGTTTGTCGGCATCATAGCCGTGCTCGTGGGTTTAACAAAAGTGGTAACGTCTGAGACCTGCATCACTTCGGGCTTTACTCCCACATCAAGCTGACACGCCGTGATATAATTTGACTATTGTTAAAAGTGGCGTTGTACACTACTCACTCACTCATTCTTGCCATATACTGTCATTGATTATTGCAGGGAATACCATTGATCAGTTTCTTACCTCTGCTGGTACCAACAGATGTCTATGAACCTGTTGTTCTTGATGGAAAACTAGTTTTCGGTCGGGCTGGTGTACTAGGGAAATCTGGCATTGGGCTGTATGAAGAGGTTGAAGGTGTCACCAATCTCGCCCCGGTTGCTGATGGCCCAGGAGATGACAAACTGCTGTCTGTTGTGGACGTTGTTAGGCTTGAGTTAGAAGTAACATGCTCCCTTTGATGCGCCGATTTCCTTGGAGATCGTGCAGAACCAGGGGTTCAATATCAACCTCAGTCGGAACAGGAGGTGGTGTTGGCAGCCTACTAACCATGCCACTCCTGTCCATAATTTTGGTCTTCATGGTGTGGGTATGGGGTTGCCTTTCCTCTTCGTCCTCACTGTCACTTGCGTATTGAGCAACAAGCAATTATCAAATTGAAACCATTTTTCTACAAGAAGCTTTGGCACAAACTGCTGAATGGACAAAACATGTATATTCAATCATGTAAAACACTATGATAAAGACAATCACAACGACATACATTTCAGAAACAGAATTATTTACGGCATATTCAGTTTTATTTTATGTCTGTAAAATTACTGTCAAAGAAGATAAATATGTATCTGACAATATAAAACTTTCTTTTCCTTGTATCTGTCTGTCCCTCTTCCTCCATCACTGTGTCCAAGTTGATATGTCTCTTCAGCTTGTGGCAACTTCCTCCTAGCCTAGCCTTGTCATAGGATGCTAAAATATAATATATTGACAGGTTTGGTCGTCAGATAAAATGTTATTGTCATCATGTATACTAGATTATTATAGAAACTATATAGGTATATGATTAATGAAGAAAACTTTAAACTCAGTTGATCTATCTTGGAATTGCTTAAATGTTACCTTTGTTACCTACTAGTACATCAGTTATGATGCTATTGAAGATCTAGGCTTCTATTTTCCTAGTAATATATATAAAGTAACTTACCATTCTCGTACATGATGGATGTTGCATAAATCTTCCAGGTATCCTTATCTGGTTCGATTGAAGATTTTGCAGCTCTGTCCATTTGATTGGAGTTCTAGTATTTCAGCCAGTAGCAGAACTTATCCCCTTCCAACCACGTATCAGGAAAAAGGCTGATTTCATCACTTGTCAAGAACTTCACAATGTAGTGCATTTTCCTGTGGTAACATTTGTTATATAAATCTACCAATATACACAGTGTACAGTACAGTCTCAGATAGTTACATATAACTATGCCTCAAGTTGTTTCTTCATGTCAACTCTGTAATTTATTTCTCACTGTGGGGGGCACGGGTGGCCCAGTCGTCTAAGGCGCCGCGATTCGCTGTGCAGAGTTGCGTCCCTTGGGTACGCCAGAAACCTATGATTGTGTGTTCGAATCCCGGTTCTCCCCGATTATGTTTCTAGGTTTGTCAGCACCATACCCGTGCTCGTGGGTTTCACCGAAGTGGTAAACGTCTGAGACCTGCATCACTTCGGGCTTTCCTCCCACATTAAGCTGACACGCCGTGATATAACTGGAATACTGTTAAAAGCGGCGTAAAACCCAACTCACTCACTCACTATTTCTCACTGTGCATAACGGACATAGCTATGAATGAATCATGTTTTGGTAAAAGAACATATTTGCATTCGATGAGTGTCAATTTTCCGACAAAGATTCTGCTTACTTTGCACGCTTGCACTGACTTTGTGCCTTGTACATTCCTCCTTCGTCTACACTTCAGAATCTCTATGATCAACTGCCAAAACGCTGCATCATCATTGGCGACCTAAATGGGCATAACCCTTTGTTGGGAAGTTCAAATACAAACAATACTAGGAAAATCCTTGAAGATTTTATTTCAATGATTCAAACACTCATTTAGCACTTGATCTTTCAATCACAGATTCAAACCTTTCCAACGAATCAATGTGCAGTCTGGGTTGTTTACACAAGAAATATTGTCAACTAAACTGTGCTTTGAACAAAACTTTTATTAAAGCCAAAATTTGATGGTCACTCGTCTGTTTCTCAGTGGCCACATGGGTTACTTGATTGGCCTCCAGAAAAGGAGTTTTCCCAACACCTGAACAAAGTGGATTGTTGTACGTTGCATCAGTTGATAAACTTATGTTATTTAAATTTGTTCCTCTGTATATGTTTCCCTTATTTCCACCCTCCTGGCTCGCATGCCCTTTGTGTTATGAGATTTGATATCATCGCAAACTCTGTTTGCAACTTTCTACATGTCTGAATGGGATAGCGGAGGTATATCAGCGCTCATACTCTCACTTCCAATTGGACAATTTGAGGGGCCCATCTGTAGTCCAGTATTGGCAGTGCAAGATCGACGTCACTAGTCTGGTTCTCAGTGGTCACATAGGTTACTTGAGTGGCTGCCAGAAAAGGGTTTTTTTCAACACCCGAACAAAGTGGATTGTTGTACATTGCATCAGTTGATAAACTTATGTTATTTAAATTTGTTCCTCTGTATTTATGTATCTCCCTTATTTCCACCCTCCTGGCTCGCATGCCCTTTGTGTCCTGAGATTTGATATCGCAAACTCTGTTTGCTGCTTTCTGCATGTCTGAATGGGATAGCGGAGGTATATCAGCGCTCATACTCTTACTTCCAATTGGACATTTTGAGAGGCCTATCTGTAGTCCAGTATTGGCAGTGGAAGATCGACGTCTCCGTCTCACCACACAACCCTCTACCTCTTTGTTCAGTTTGCGGTACTCTGACATGTAGGTACAGTCAGTGCATTTAACTCTCACTGTCCAATTAAGTCCCCGCTGCTGTTCATTGTCTATGTCTATGACAATGACTTCCTTACACATTGACGAAGTCTTGGCGGGCTGACGGATGGCCTCGTTGTACAAATTGTCGTCAGTCTCTCCAATATGCAACAAGTGGTAAACATCAGCAGCAGCCCTGCATAATTAACAAAAACTTAACTCTACTTTGAAATAACTCCAAAATTAACCTTTTAAGTATGTGGTAGATAATTTCTGAATTACCTCCCTGGCAGATCAAATGTTCTATTTCTATCCCCATCAAGCCCAGTTTTTTTATATGGTATTGAACACACCAATCAGATGTATGTGAATTTGATCCCTTGCTGTACCAAATATCTGAAAACTGTCCATAATATTAAACGTGTATGAAGTGGCCTCATTAAAGGACAAATACTTCAACTTGGTAAGTTTATCCACCCATATAATTTAACACTGAGCATTTTGTATTCCCTGCAAGTATTTCAAAGTCTTGGCAAAAGGAATAAATAGATTCAAGTGTTATTACCTTTCACTTTTAGTTTTCAGGAAACTCCTTCCTTGGCCTTAACAGACGGTACGGTTTACTTGTTAATGTTTGAACTTGCTGCACACCAGCCACCTCTACACTGCACGCTTTCTTTTGAAGCTCAGTCGTCAATCTGACAGTTTTTGGCACTTAAAAGTTGCTTTGCTTTTCATTGGGGAATATTTTACCTGAATTCCAAGCTTTATGACCCGCTTTTAAAGATGTTTTCAAATTCTTTCGATGTCTCCCCAGTAGGTCCAAGATGCTGACACTATGAATAGCTATCTCTTCACAACTCCTTTGAGCCTCTTGACATGGAGGTTACTCTGTCTGTACAGGAGAGTAATTCTTCCTCACGTTCACGTGAGGGATCTCCAATCGTGCCTCCATGACTCAATTGTCCAATATGATACAATGGAATTGCAGAGGACGGATATGAAATACAACTATTAATATGGGATTTTAAACCATCGGCAAAATGTCTCCAAGAGACATATCTCAAACATACAGTTAACTTTGCCTTACGGAAATATAAAAATATAATTGTCATCACTCCTTTTCGCCTCCAGGCAATAAAGCTTGGAGGCGAAAAGCTACTGGAGGTTCTGCTATCTTGGTCAGACATGACGTCATTCATAGCGCCGTTCCTCTTAGTACAAACTGTGTTATGAGTTTGTCCCGGGCACTCTCATCCAAACTGTGTTATGAGTTTGTCCCAGGCACTCTCATCCAAACTGTCAAGCCATTCACGTGTTCTGTTGTGTGAGAACATCAGAAACGACTCGTTTGTCAGGAGTGTTGAAATTGGTCCGTATCGCAACAGTTGGTCCAACTGTCCAAACACAAACTCGGGCAGTTTGTTGTGTGTCATCATTAACATTGTTTCCTCTACTACCTGGGCTTCAGGATTCCAGAATTTTCCTCCTGGTAGATGATCTGTAACCATTTGTGAAAGGAGCTGGTAAAATGGTCTTGAATAGGCTCTGTAGTAAGGGACAGAGAATTTGGTCCATTGATTGGTCTTCTGCTGTTAGCATGGTCACACCTTTACCATCCTCATCAATTCTGGTGTCAAATGGTGTGTTACTCCCTCTTTTGAAATCTGTGATAACTGCCACATCATTCGAACCCTTCTCCAAAAAGTCAACAAGATTCTTGTAGTGACTGTTCATTTCTAGTATGTCACCTTTAGCTTCGAGTAATTTCCACAGTGGACCGGAGATGAATTTGGAAATCAATCAAATGACTCTTGCTCCTGCTAGATAAAGGTCTTCTTTGATGTCATATGAGACTGCCTTTAGTAGACTATTTGTTGTCCCATTGACAGTATCCAAGAACTTAGAAATGTCTTCATGGTGGTAATACACTGCATGACCCAAGGAAAACACCATTGAACCTATCGTGCTTGAAGCGAACAAAGCGATTTCTTTCATTCTTAAGAAAAGTCTTCCATGCGAGGCTCACTCCATTCTTTTCATCCTCGCCCAAAGCAAAGGCCTTGCAGCATGTTCTGATGATATGCAGTGTGCTACTCTCACTCTTGTGGAACATCTCAAGCTCGGGGAATTTTGCGGAAACCAATAAGTTTGTTCTCAAGGAATGAACGTTTCCTCGCAAGAATCAGCCATCCCAACAAGCAGATGGAGCCCACAAAAAAGTTGTTCATCTTGGAACACATCGTTCTTTCTTTATCGTCCAAGTCTGCCCATCCATCAACAACTTGTGGCAAAATTGTTTCTCTGAATTCCTCCAGGAGTCTGTTGAAGGCTTTTTCAGTGGATGCTCTGTCTGACATTGTATCTCTGATGTTTGAGAGAATACGGTAGCCCTCATGCATTTGACCTTCTTTTTCCTTGGTATGGCAGTGGTCATTTATGTCCTCCAGTATTTCAAGTATTGATTGACTGCTCTTGTTGGCCTTATCTCGGAGCCCCAAAATATAGGAAGTCTGTGTTTCATCAGTCAAAACATAGGTTTCTACTGTCTTCTCATACTTCCTTGTCTCATCAATGTAGAGAGTTGTGTTCTTCTGCTCTTTCAGGACATCTTTTAACTGCTCTTGTG